CAAGAGAACTGTGACTCGGGAGAAGATTAGTTTTCCAGCAAGAAAATGACCCGAAGCCTACAACCAAAGTTACACGGAAATAAATTAAAGACAACAAGGTGAACGTTGTGGGGCGGCAGAGTCGCAGCAAAGACCTCAAGCCAACTGAGAATGTGTTGCTGAACCTAACAAGAGGGCTGTTAACTCACAACGTCTGTGCAACCTGACAGAGCTTGAGCAGCCATGCAAAGAAAAATGGGGCAAAACTGCTCTTTCCAGATGTGCAAAGCTTTAATCGCAATAAAGGTGCATCTAGTAAATACTGACTTGAAGGAGCTGACTACTTACGCAATCAGTTATTTTATATTTTATATTTACAAGTAATTAATGTCGCTTTGTGGAAATTTCTTTTCACATTGACTTCAAACTGTGCTTTTTTTGTTGTTGTTGTCCTTTTATTGCCATGAGTCAATGTTGAAATGAAGGACTTCCAAGTGAACACCACATAAAGTCGATATGAACGCTGTCAATGGCAGCAGTAAAGCTAATTTCCTTCTCATGTAAAGTGGCAGCTGTATAGAGCGGGAGGAAGGGTTCTGGCTGCAGGCACCAATATCTACACGCACTTAAGTATATTTTCACATACGAGGAATAAGTGGAGGTCAATTATACAATCATAAAAATGAAAAACCTTTATAAAATTAATTGTTCACTTGGGTAAAAGACTCATCAAATCATTAAATCATTAAGCGAATTAATCATTCAACAAATCAAAAAAGAAAAAAATCCATCAGCAACTACTTCAATAAGTAATAAATTATTATATAATAAGCCATTGTGTGTCCAGGTTTATTCGTTAAACTAAATATCTTTAACTAGTTTCGGACTATTTTCGAGCTAAAGTTGCGTCCTGCCCAGTTGGAGACGAGCTGTCCTTGGTTTGGCGAGTCCCGTTGATCCAAACAATTACTGTCACGAGTCTGTTTATGACAAAATAATCACATCGCTTGAATGAAAATTACAGAGCACGAGTTAAACCCAGAGAGTTCTGACAGCGCGGCAACTGTTGTCTGAAAATGCACGGCTGGCTTTAACGGCACATTTAAACGAATTATGAATATGTTGTCTGCCTTGACATTATTTTATTTATTTTATACTCGTCACTGTGCAGGTCAGTGTCTCTTCTGATTGACAGAATGTCAGCGTTTGAGTGCCTGACTAAAAGGTTTTTTTTGTAAATAGATGCTAAAATGTGACAGAGGTCAATTCCCAACCAGGGATTTTGTGCATCACTACACACACACACTACACACATATAGCTTACCCACATACTGTACATGTGTGCACAGCAGGGTGCCAAGACCAGTAAGGCAGCAGAACACTCACCAGTTCCACATCGGGAGGGATGGCGAGCCCAGCGGGAGCAACAAATGGTTCTTCGCTCTCCTCAGGCTCTGCCTCTTCTGCGCAAAAAGAACAATATCAACTCTTGTTAATTTTTTCCCAACAGGAAAATAACACGCTCTCCTGGATACCCACTCAGTTATGCAGCAAAATTAAGATTAACTGGGAATCTTCAAACATTTTAAAAATGAATGAGACGCGCGCCGTCCGCTGCTGGCCCCCACTACACCGATATATCAAAGTAAAATACCACTCCGGCCTTTACCTTCATCTTGAGAACAACACACAGGTCAGGTGGAAATGATATTAAATTTTTAATGTTGCGCTCTTGGGAGTTTGCAGAGTGATAAAAGGAGCCCTTCAAGTTAATACAAAACATCTACGGATGGAAAAAAAACACTCGGTCTTTCTGCCAGGTGGATGGATTGGCTGAGGTGTGCCATGGGTGCGATTTGAAATCAACTTCTGGCAAGACCTAGAAACCATACAGGGTGTTCACTGTATTTCCAATTTATTGATCACACAGGATAGCAGGCTTCCAAACACTGCCACAGTTTGGAAAAAAACATTTAAGACATCCTCTGAATCATCACTCCAGTTATATAATCAGACTATGACTAACTTCAACTTGGATAATACGGCTAATTCTTAAATGGTGTATTATGTAAAACTCGCTGTTACAACAAAGCCATCAAAATTCACAAACTCTCACTTTTTTAATGAAAACCCAGCCACACATTGACTCAGCATCTCCATTGACAGGGAGAAGGAGGCAATCGTTTTACAGTACGGGACGCTGGTGAAGGCACAGTAAATTGATTTAAATAAATTCAGCTGACAGACGGCGTATTCAAACGAGGCTCCTTATTTTGACAGAATTGAACTGGTACACTGTGAAATGACTGCCGCGTGGTTTCGAAAGGGCGGCTAACGAAAACACACATCTGTCACGTTTAAGAAAGAGTCGGACTGAAAGCAGATCAAAATTGCCAAATAAGACCTTTTGAACCTCGCCGGGTTCGTCTCAAAAGGCAAATTCCACAGGTGGAGGCAAACATATTAACACCCGGGTCTCTGCTTCGCAAAGAATCACTCGGGGAGGCATCGAGTCCGCTGACCGGTCGGGAGGTAATCTGCACATCAAATATTTAAATGTGCAGGAACTATGGAGTATTACACCTTAGTGGAAGGTCACGGGTCTGTTTGAAGGTTAAGATTGTCTTTTAAGGTTAGAATTTGTTTTAGAGACGGTTAGGTTAAGAGGTGAGGGAATCCATTGTGTGACATATGAGGCGAGTCGTTATCAGCTGAGGTATCGCTGTGTGATCTGTTGATTCTGTGTCTCTTCAGCAGCCGCCTCAGAGGTGTGCATCTGCAGATGGCCGCTTTGGACGGATTAGAATAGTTTTAAAAAGAATAAGAAGTGCATTAGAAAAGAGCTGCTGGTTCTTTTCAGACTGCAGCAGCCCAAAATACAGGAACTAAATCTAGCAGCTAAAACCACAGATATGGCACAGAGCCCACTACAAACAGACACTACGGGCACATGAAAGGTCCCACAATGTTTGTATGCACACTTCGGTGTGGAGACTTAAAGATCATTCTGTAAGTTCCTGCGCCTTGCAAGGCTACCAATAAAAGCTATTTCTTTCCTGGCTTTGCCCCATTCAGCTACATGACTAACTATCTGCCGATGGCTCACCAGATTCCTTGTTCGCGTCCTCCTCCTCAGTGGGCTGAGACGGGTCGTAGTAGTCGGCGCTGTACTTGAAGGCCACTGCGTTGTACGAGCCTTCGTCAGCCAGAGCCTCACTCAGTCGCTTGTACTCCTCCTCTGTGGGAGATAAGAAAGCACACAGAGAGAAAAAGTGACTAAAACGTGGAGCGTTTCAAATTCCAACAGCACAAATCGATCAGGACTTTTTTTATTCTGGAAAACTCACACCGTCCTCTAACTGGTAGATGTCGTATCAGCTGCAGTGCTCGGCTGGTACCAAATAGTTTTGGACATTTTTTGGTCATATTCAAGCCAAAACTTTGTCTGCTTTGGTCTAAATGTGGTTGGTAACCTTGTTGTATTTTCCTTTGGTTTCCTTTCACGAGTAAACCAGAATGCATCCCTAACAGCTACAGGAGATTGTTTCTTCCACTCGCTGATGCGTCTGAGGTAAAAGCAACAAACACAGAAAAAGAAAAAGGTCCTATCTTCTTAAATATCAAGAAGGCAATGTTCTTCTTCAATTTCACTCCCATCCCAGGATGAAAATTGTTGTTACTAAAATAGGTCAAACTTGCAGAGTACAACTTGTAGTTAAGGCAGATTGCTTTCACGACACAAACAAACAAACCACAAACTGTTTTTGACTAAAAACAAATTCTCGTGTCTCAGTGTCGTTGCTTTTGGATCTCATGTATAGAATTGCAAAAAAATAAAAAATATTGAAATGTTGGCGCTTGTTGGAGAATATTGATAATATTGATAAACCTGAACACAAA